AGTTCGCATCTCCTCTACTATACATACAGTCGGGTCTCCTCCTTTATACATACAGTCGGGCTCTCCACCACTATACATACAGTCGGGTCTCCTCCTTTATACATACAGTCGAGTTCTCCACTACTATACATACGGTCGGGTCTCTTCTATTATACATACAGTGCGATTCTCCGCCATTATATCATTACTTCCAAGGCCAAATTCAACGGTCTTCCACCATTCTTCTTCATGCAATATTGATATTTTTTAATTTTTTACATATCTGTAGATGCGATATTACAGTCGTCCTTCGTTTGTTTATAAACTAAACTATGCTAAGAGTGTTGGTGGAAGGATCATGACGCACTTTGAGAATCTTTTCGATATTCCGTACCCCCTGCCCAAAGAAGGTAAAATCAATGATATAGTAAGTCCAACCTCTGAAACTCAGGTTCAACCTCCCCCGCCTCAAATGTCGTAACAGATTGGTTTTATTAATTATAGTTTGTTTTCGTATATATCAGTGACAAATTAAAAGTCGTGCAAATATTCTCGTATCTTTGCTCGGGTCTTTGCAAAGAAAACTGATGTTTTATTTATCATAACACAACTATCTTATAGATATGGTAGGGTTACCATCATTTCCCTATTTGGGCATGGAGAACTGGGGACTCATCCTATACAGAGATAAAATCCTGCTATGGGATCCGAAGGAGTCCATAGAACAAAGCAAACTTTTATCTGTTCAAGTGATTACCCACGAGCTAGCACATATGGTACGAAAATAGTTGTCAGATAAAATCATAAATTGTACACCGTAAAAGYATAAAATACTAATGACGTTTTGGACCCTTGATSGACGTTTTTGTTCCTGAGCAGGAAAGATCTTCCTGCGCAATTTTAAAGGATTGCTGCGAGCAGTGACAAGKCGACGCAAGATGAACATATTGTACACATGGATAGTTATATAGAACATACGTACGGCAATTTGGTAGTCTATCTTTCATTTCTCTCACGGTTCGTCTCCCTTCGACGCCAAGAATAGGAAACAATCTGTTAAAAACTATTGAGATCTAAATGAGGAGTATGTTGTAGAAAGTTTTGTCCTCTAAGGAAGTGTATTTTCGCTAAAAGGTCAAATAAACACAACGCGTAACCAAGCACGCTTAATCAGCAAGTATTATCATCAGATTTATTGTATATTGACTGTATTATCGAACGTTTTTAGTGGTTTGGTAATATAGTAACCATGAAATGGTGGAATGACATTTGGTTGAATGAAGGCTTCGCAAATTTCTTCGAACAAGTTGGTGTTGGATACGTTGAACCTGATTGGAAGAACGTAAGCAAGTATTACTCTTTGTTACAGTACTGTTCAGAAAACAATGTAAAAATTGTAGTGATTGTTGGTTGCTGTGTCATCATCATCATCATCATCATCATTTTCTGAACAGTACTGTTCAGAAAACAATGCAAAATTGTGGTGATTTTTGGTTGCTGTGCCATCATCATCACCATTATCATCATCATTATCATCATCATTATCATCATCATCATCATCAGCTGTGTGATAACAATACAAAATGACTGTTGAAATGACTTGCATGAAAGAATCTTCATCAAATCATCAACAACTCGATGCACATAAACTATCAGATGATGTAATCATCATCCTCTTTATGATTATAATCATTGTTATTATCACGTTTTTATCATTCAATTCGATTTATACAGGAGGATTTGATGATCTTTAGTAAAAGAAGGGCTTCTATGTWTCATGACGTGGATCCGTTCTCTACWCCACTCTCAGGGCCTGCGGACAAAATACAGAGCAGCTTTGAAACGAATACTACTATCTTCTACCAAAAGGCATGCTAACGGATAAAAACCCAAGTATTGCTGTGCAAAAACGATTTCTAAGCTTCGCAGGCAGTTTTAAACGTCGCAAGTCGCGAGCGTTTTTCTTTTTTTGTCTGTGTTTCAAATCCCTCTCGTGGATTTTTGACCGATAAGAGATACCTCGTTTTCGTGTGCGCGCCTAAAATACGTTTGAACAGCGCCCACGCATCTCAGAATGTTACTCTCAAACTCGTTCCCAGGGCCTTAAGCGAAGGGATAAGGCCCCGGTAACGAGGTTGTGTTTCTCTCCTAGTWTTTCTGTCAACGCTTGTTATTAGTGCTATATGTGTGTATTTGTAAGCTAACTAGTTTGTATTCRTTACAGGGAATGTGCATTCTACGTATGATTCAAGGATTCCTTGGCGAAAAAACTTTTATTGATGGAATGAAGGTAACATATTTCCATTGGGCTTCCTGTGTTGATTGTATACTYATTACACTATTGTTTTTATAATGCTGTTCGATAGGTTTACCTTAAAAAACACGAATATAGCAACGTGGTGACGGATGATGTGTGGAAAGCTCTTACTGAGGTGCGAGAATTTCCTTTTTTTTAACTTCTGTCTGTCTGTTCCTTCTTTACGTTAGTTTAAATGTTTCCTTTCTTTCCTTTTTCCTGACTTTTTAACGTCAACATGTGTCTGATTTTGACCTTTGACCTTTCCAGGTGACTTGTTCACGTGGTCAGTGCATGGAYATCAAACAAATCATGGACCCATGGACACTGCAGTCTGGGTACCCTGTGGTGAAATTCTCCAAAAAGAACGCAACGCACTTCACTGTCACTCAGAGTCATTTCAAATCAAAACAAAACGAAACTTATCGAAAATCTGAATTTGGGTAAGTATGCGCAAATCCGTTTATACAAAAATATGTTCTCACATTTCCACTAGATGCTAAGAGTCCCCACCCCTCCCCCCACAAAAAAGGAAATACGGTGTGATTTCTTTTCAACCTCGTTTCCAGGCCCTAAGACCTTTTTTCCCACCTAAACCAAAACGAATGGATAATGGACTGGGAACGAGGTTGACACAACGTTGTTGCTAACAGGTACTCCTGGGTAATTCCTTTATCTTACGTCATCAAGGACAAAGGTCGCGGTTTTACATGGATGAACATGACGTCAGGTATGACGCACCTTTGACTGTCACTTCAGCAAATCAATGCAAGTGACAATGTCTATGACGAACAACACTTTATAACAAATATTACCTCCATATTACGAACACCTCTACTTGAAGGACACCCCTACGTTACAGACCGTTCTATGTCA